GACGGATGGCAACGTTAGGGTTGTCACCATTCGCACGCAGTACGGAACGTTCCGTCGAGGAATCCAGAAGATCTGCACCCTCCCCATTCGGGACAATCAGCCGCAGGTTGAAGAATTTTTTTTTTTTTTTTTTTACTTTATTTTAGAGATTTTTAGCCTGCAGGTTGAAGAAGCTCAATAAGTAATCTAGCAGCAGTTAATCGTTACCCGTGAAGCAGAAATAATTATTTAAGCCCCCGTTGGGGCACTTTAAGCAACTGACGGCACAAATCTTGCCGTGGATGCCTGGGGGCAACACTCAAGTTACGTTCAACCCACCTGTGTTTTCCGTTTGAACCTACTGCTTTGTTTTTCCGTCTTGGATGTGGATACCCAACAATCGCTAGCCATTCGTACTCCCTAGCCCAATGAAGGAGATTCATCAATCAACAGATGTCATCTCAGCTGAGGTTCAGCTCGATACCGCTTCTACCGTTCATCGCATCGTGTCATCAGCAGCAAGTGGCTGCCCAGCAGATGAGTATTTTATGCCCCCAACGGGCAAACTTTGGCAACTAATGGATATTCCATCTGTTTTAACGCCAGGGGGCCGAACCATGAGTTACGTGTCTCCTCTGTAAGCCCATGTATTGGATTACAGCCATGTTTCTCTTCGACAGGAATCGGAATATCGAGGACCTACGTTGCAGTCTCCAGTGTCGGACTCCAACACTACTTAACTCATGATATCAGTGCACGGATTCATCGTGTTAGGTAATGTGGACATCGTCACCAGGGAGAATCCAAGATCCAATCCGATTAATACACCAGTTAGAATAACAAATAAATAAGCAGAAGGTAACGAAGTAGAAACGAGCCCGGTAGAAAGGCAACAGGTCATCTAGCCGTTTGTGACGAACAACCGATCAAAACAAACTATTATCATTGTCTTTGTGGTCTCCATTATTTTATTGTTCTAAAAATAGTATCAAGTTTGTGTTGAGTAAACTCAAGGCCGCCAGTATGTTACGTATAAATAAGTATAGACGAGTATAGAACTCACTGTACGATCAGTTCATATAAAACTGGAGAGTATAAGATTGATCTCTCTTCTCCTTGTCGCATGTTGTGGTACATGTGTACCTATATACCACTCTCGAATAGGTGTATAATATTGATAGCAGCTATTGATAGGGATAGTAGTGGTGGATCTTCGTTATAAGAGTACTGTCGCATGTACAGCAGATCAGATCTGATAGTTCAGTTGTCTCCTGCATCTTGGTTGTGTCGGTCGCCGGTTAAAAATAATATACAGTCCATACGCTTTGATTCGGTTTAGTGTTTCCTTTTTCACTTTCACAATAAAGTTCAGTGTCGCTAAACGTTCTTTTAGCATTAATCCGAACGCACGCTAACTAGTTCGCGAGTGATCCGCACGGACGTTATCCGGCTAGTGAAGATTTAACATAACAGGTGGTATCACATTTTTCGGAATGACATTTTCTGAAATATAAAGCTTCTCGATATCACATCTCCAGGAATAGTTTAAAATACAGTAAGATCACTAATTGAACTTTAATCTAAAAACTATAATGAACAGCCTTTTGAGGTTGTACGAACTGTTGACGTAGGACTACGCTGCTAAATGTAAGCTATTTTGAGTAAGGTAAAGTGATTCCTAGGATTGTTCATGCAACTTGAGAAGCAATATAATCAACATTAACCCCCATGGCACGATGATGGAGTAGATCGAGCGGATGGCTTGCAGCGCATTGAGCGTTACCGTCCCTTTCTGGAAGTACACCAGGAAAAGACAATCTGGGTACGTCTTCACGTTTTCGTCTCTCCTCGTCATCCGGTAGACAACGATTGGGGCCAGCTTGTACCGGTCCTTGATTTCGGCTTCGATCATCTTGGGGTCGAAGATTGGTAGGCCTCTGATGGCTACCTTGAAGGGCTTCTCACCGGGGATGGCATGCGTCAAGTAGTTCACAGCCACCTCATACTTCGCTTTCGTACGGAGCATAACCTTGGTGCCGATCCTGCTGAGCTTAAACTCAGCTGCGACACCTAGGGATGTGAAATCGCCAATGAGCGTGTTGAGTGGCTCTTTCTTCACTACCAGCGGAGGAAGCTTCACTATGCCGCACTCAGGCCGAAATAATCGATGTCGCTGGCGTTCGTCGCGTCCACTTGCAATATCGGACTGGCCCTGATTTTTCTTCCTCTTCTTCGTCCGCTTCACCGTGTCGGAGGTGGTATCAACCGGTGGAAACTAACGACTTTAAATTGGCTCACACTGGACTAGCCTATAGCTCCCAATGCATCGATGAACGTATCCCATTATAGTCGAAATTCTAGTTTAAACTATGTTTTGATTAGCTATAAAAGTTTGAGAGATGAAATGAGGGGCTTGTGGATTTTCCTTTGTTTCGAGGGGTGCATCAATTAACTTGGGACCGAAGAGAGTACCAGAGTTGAGCCAAAAAGTTGAGCACGTTTCTTCGGGACCTTCTGGTCTTAGAGTTACTTCTATGGTGGTATTCTCAACATCGGTGAGAAGAGTAGCGTACCGATTCGAAATAGGTACCGAGCAACCCTCACCACTGCTCGTCTTATCCACTTTCTCTCGGAGTCATGCTTGGCATATACAGTTTTGGTCAGTAGTAAACTGTATTTCTTTTTGCGTTGTAAAAATGAGGTGAGAAATGCTCACTACACATCTCGGAATTTAAGTTTTAAATTGATTAGTGTTGATTCAAATGTCAAGCTTTACCTAATCTTCGCTTATCTATAGTAAACTATGAGCCTAATATATCAATTACTTTAATGAAAAATAAATTTCAACATCTGAGTGTTCGAAGTTCCGAGGCGTTAAGGCATCGTTGAAGTTTGTTCGTTATTCCGCGAAGCATTCTTCTTTTGACGGCGAACAGGAAAAACACGTAACCGTCTCCGAAGGGAGAAACGTCGGAAGTGTAAATGCTGTAAAGCAAGGGACCCAGCAGACTGCCTTGTGGGACTCCTACTGGGATGGAAAACATGTCTGAAAGACAACAATTCAACGATACCCTGAACGACCTTTGCTGGAGGTAGCTACGGGTGATTTTGACAAGATGCAAAGGAAAGTTGAAGTTACAAAGCTTGTATACAAGCCCATTGTGCCAGACATTATCAAACGCTTTCTCAACGTCTAACAATGCCATGGCTGTAGACTTGGATATAGCCTTGTTACTTTGGATGTTATTCATCACCCGTACTAGCTGATGATTGGTGGAGTGCCCCTTTCTGAACCCGAACTGTTCCGGAAGGAGAATGTTGTGTTCCTCGACAAACTTGAGCAAACGATTGATAATGAGTTTCTCGAACAATTTGCTCAGCGCTGAAAGGAGGCTGATTGGTCTGTAGCTTGAAGACAATGTTGGATCCTTACCGGGTTTGCGGATTGGTATGATTTTTGCTACTATCAAGATGCTTGGAAAGTAGTGCAGTTCCAAACATCTGTTGTAGATAGCGGTTAGAAGAGACTGCACTTTCATGCTGAGTCTCTTCAAGATCAAGTTGAATATACCGTCTAACGCGGGAGCCTTCATGTTCTTGGTACATTTCACCGCTGAGCAAATCTGTTGTACTGTAATCATATCCGTCGGAGGTACGACACAAGGGCAGACATCTAGGTTTTGAACGCATTGCGCAACCTGATCATCGAGCGGACTTTGGATAGTCGAGCCAAGCAAAAGCGATGCAGCTACATGCTCGCTGACCGCATTTACTTTCTCATGTGGGGTGATATTGAGCCGATCGTCATCATTGGGGTTGGGATGAGTTTTCAGGACCTTGGCTACCTTCCAGAATGGTCTGGAGCGGTCGTCCAGAATCTGAACAACACGCCCGAAACTTTCATTTATTCATGCACGTAATTGGTGGATTTGTTAGTTATTTCGAAGCTCTTGGACAATTCTTGATATTCACAACTTTTTCAATAGTTTCAATTTGAAAGTCAACAGTCGATGTTTCTGATCGATTGGTGATAAAATTTTTGAAATTGAAATTTGAAATTATTATCGTTCAAAATCTTTCCTAATTACATTTTTCGGTTTTCATAAAGTGTACCCCCATCTTCCCGAAAGACGTAGTCCTACGTCAAAAAAGAGGGAAGTTCCTTAAACTAATTGGAAACATTCGTTATGCCTGTCATCTGGCGCTATGCTAACAGGGTTTAGAGCTCATTTTTGGCCTATTAAGCGTATTCCGCACTTTATCCCTCTTTTTCAAATGGATTATTTTTTTTTTAAACTGAATTTTGCACTATGGTTAGCTGATTCACCTTTCCATTGGTACTGCTAGATTTGATGAAGAGTAACAAATTTTTAAGATATTGTTGAAAATGTAACACCCCTGACAGTAAACTCGGCCAACGAGTACGAAATTTGGCCTCACGCATTGACATTCAATGGCACTGCACTTCGGCCTATCGAATGGAGAAAAAAGTTGATTCTATCGGAGTGCTTCTTTAGTTTTCGAGAATAATGAGTATAAACATTCATATCACGTGTTCTTACTGCACACTACGATCTCCTGGAAAATTAATTGTTCACGGTTGTGCAATAAGCAATGAAGCATGATTCCTCTGATTTGAACTCGATGAACATAGATTCTTCCTCTGCTATACGATATGTAGTGATCATCTGAGTGGGATCCGCGTCCAGCGTTTTACAAAGGACGCAATCTCGGCTTTTTACAGCTGTGTAGCTGAACCTCACAATCAGCTTTATTTTCTCCGACATCTCCCTTTTTTTCTTCCAACGGGGCACGAACTTCACACAATGAGTAAGCACCGCAGCAATATTTTCTATCGAGTAACAGGTTATCGCGTATCCTGGACCGATAAAAACTCACAGCTGCCTGTGTCGATAACCAAGATAGCACTGAACTTGACCCACCCTAACGGCCACACACTATGAAATATCATCAAATACACCAACAAGGGACAGTTCGGATAATCGACAACCGCTCTTCCGTATTATTCAAAATATCGTCTTTTATACTTCTTAGTGTAGCTCCTGCTAATTGTAGTGTTTCCAATTTACACATCTCGGTTCCTGTTACAGACGAACCTTCTTATACACAGACTACGAATACTTTCTATCCACAATAGGGCGAAAAGAAAAGAATGCTATATAGCACTAGTTTTCCACTAACTTTTTACACAAGGCTTACAAATCTACTTTACAGGGTCTTTGGAAGGCCAGCAGCCTCCCAACAATAATAGCTCAGAGCCGTAATATCCATAAAACTAAACGTGTAACATTCGGTTCCTAAGCAAATTAACCATTACACATACATAACACAGAACGAGGATTGGACTTACTTTCAACTTCGTATCGTTTCAGCATTCGTTTTGAACAGAATCTTCCCATTGTCATTACACAAACAAAACTACACCCGGTGAAAGGCTTTCCTCTAGCTAAAACAATAGTCACAACGTCACAGCGGTTTGTGTTCGCCAAGGCTTTCACTCTGGAAGATTAGAACGTTAAAACAGACTAGTTATTTGATAACCAGATGGGGGAAAATTTGGGATGGGAAACCAAATGCTAATACCTTGCCGGAGGATGCGTCATGGAATACTTGCTTCTTGTACTGATCACGATTGATTGGGTTCGCTTTTGTTTACCGGGACTAACTATTTACAGGGCACTTAGCGACTTACACTTAAAAACGAACATGTACAGCTGCGTAACTTATCACCTAGAAATGACACTTTGTAGGGGGGGTTTTTGCCACTAAACAATATAGGAATTTTAAACGAGTAACAATCATAAACACAACGTTCGACAACGAATATTGGCGGTTTGCGGTTTTGCGATAGTGGTAAAACTACTACATATTTGTTTTTTGTTGTTGTTATTGTTGCTACATGATACAACTATTCACGACATGGTTTGTCTTTTGCTAGGAAAAAATGGCTCTTTTGTAGTGAACTTAGAACTTATGGCAGTTTCACGTTTCTTCCAATTTTAGAACTTGTTTTCTTTTTGCAAGGGCTTAGAGAAGTGTGGAGGGCGATCCAACGGCACATTGCTGGGATCGGGACTCGGTTTGTTAGCTTTTTGTACTTTGATAAAAAAAAAATCCTTCCTAAATGGGGATTGCTGCTCAGGGAAGCACATTTGGAAATGAACAGGCTGCGTCGCCATCCCCTTCACTCTCAGTCACTTTTCCGCTGACGAAGTGCCAACTGCTGTCAGCCCCGTCTTCGTTGCTGCTACTGCTGCTACTGTTCGGCTTCGGAGTGGTGCTGCTCGCTCTTCCGCCGCTCACTAGGCTGCTGAGCAGACTGCTCCGGCCGCTGTTAGGAAAACGGCGGCGTGTCGCTCTCGGATCGGATCTGTCGGATGCGTACGTCGTCGTACGCGATGGTGAAGATGCTCTTCTTGTCCGTGAGCGGATGGCGTTTGCTCTTGTTGTGGAGCAACGAGTTCATGGCAATGCCGGAGTCGTGGTCGTCTTCCAGGGTGGAAGCGTTGAGGGTTTTGGTGGTGGTTGTGGCAGTCGTAGCGGTTCCGGTTGTTGTTGCCGCAGTGACGGACGGATCCGGAGGTCGAGGTCGTGGTTCTTTGACTTCATTCTCGTGGATCGGAGAAGGTTTGCTGGCGGATGAGTCCACTATCTTGATTTGAACCTTGTTGTCTCGGTTCACGATGGGAGGAGCTTCCGGATATAGGAAGTGCGGAAGCTTGTCCGGAGGAGGAGGAACTTGAGAGCTGGTGTCGTACGCTGATTCGAAGCGATGCTCGGAATGCTGAAGCAGAGGATGACTCGTGGCGTCATTGGATAGCGATTGGGCCTTCTTCGCTAGTTGGATGTCTTCCTTGAGAAACCGAGCATCTTTTGGAGGAGACGTTCGCGGCATTGGTTCGGGCTTTGTCGATTTCGGTTCGTCTTCTTTTGAGGACGAAGATACGACCTTCTTTTTAACAACCTTCTTTTCGATTTCTCTGTACTTGGCGGGTTTTTTCTCGAGTGAATCTTCTCTGAGGTTGTGGTACCAATCCATATACTTCGCAGGGATTTCTCTGCCATCTTCCAGACGTTCTTTCGACAGAGATTTGGTCATTCGAGGAGGTTTCGGCGCAGGACCTTTCTGGGATCGAGAAGGCGACTCGGATGTCGTCAGTCGTATCCTAGTGGAGGTCGTTTCCGTTTTGTTGTCTTTCCTGGATATCCGCTGCTGAATGCCAGACCGCGGTGAAACCGTTACCGATTTGGACGTCGTCGTCACTTCATACGTGTAGTCGTCCATGTCCGAATTGATGTCTAAGCTATCGGCTGAGAAGTACTTTTGAACGACTTCCTTGTCCGATCCGTCCGAATCTTCGAAATACTTTACATTCTTCTTGTAGACCTTCTTCCGCCTGTCCTTCTTTTTGGTTTCTTTATCTTCCAAGGAGTCGGAAATCTCCATCAGTACGTCCTTCTTCAATCTCTCTTCATTCTTCTTCCGCCTCAAAATACTCGCCCGCGTTTCACTGTGTCTTGGTGGAGTCTTCCTCGGTTCCTCTTCTTCCTGAATTGGTGTTCGAATCTTCCGCTTGACCGATTCCACCGTTATGAATCTCTTTCCAGCTTTTCCATTTGATTCCCCATCCGATTTATACTTGGTCTTCTTCCGCGTTCGCTTCCGCTTGATCAGGTATACATCATCCGGGCTATCCGGAGGACTGTACTTCACATATTCGTACTCGTCCTCGGAGAAGGAATCGTCATTCTCGCTCTTTGTTCGCCTCCGGTCAATCTTCATCGGTTCCGTTTGAGTTGACGTTTCGCAATCAGTCTGCGTTGCAACCACCGCCTGACACGGCAAGCTCTGTGTCTCCATTGCTTGATCGTGTTCCTTGTACTTCTCCTCTAGCTTCTCCTTCTCCAGGAGTATCTGTCTCAGCAGCGCATTCTGCTGCTTCAACGATGTCTCAAGTTCCTGATGAATCAACGAATGATTCGACACTGCATGAGTTATCTGAATCTCGTTCTCATCCTCGTCCTTGTTCGATCCCCGGTTTGACTTCTCGTGATCGTGTCCAATCTTCACCTCCGTTACGTGCTCCCCTCGATAACCGGGAACCTCATTCGGAATCGTCTGTATGAACGTCGTCCCTGGCAGTAGCTGATAGTGCTCCCTTATAATCTGCTTTCCATTTGCTTGCTCCTCGATGTACCTCCTCATCAGAATCTCCTTCCCGCCATTATCCACCATTATGTACTGCCCTGGACCTCCTCCTCCTCCTCCTCCGCCACCACCACCTACTCCGGCACCCCTCTGCGGTACATTTACGTAGATATTTTCCTCCTCATTCCTACCCCTCGTTATCAACCGCAAAATTTCCGCATTGCCATCTTTGATGTAATACTGATCCCTCGGTTCCAGCGAATCCTCCACACCATTCACCCCCAGTCCACCCTGGCGCTTGAAGCTTCCCCTTCGTTCGTAGTTCAAATCGCTTCCCCGGTCCATCTCGTGCCGTCGCATCGAATCATCATCGATCTGTGTCTGAGTGGGATGCTGGTGGACTCGCCGCAACGTCTGATACTCCGGATCGTGTTCGTCCACATCCTCCACGTAGATTTCCCGTTGCTCGTTGTTCAGCAGGTTGCTTCGGGATCGGTGCAGACCGTCACCTGCAGCTGCAACCGCAGCACCGTGGTTCTTGGCCGATTTGGATTTATATTCGTTTCTGTAAAGGCAGAGGGGGAAAGGAAACTCATCAGTTCATACAAGTAGGTTAGAAGAGTTTTATATTGGTGACATAATATTAGTAATTCAAGCTAAGCGAAAATTGTATGCAACTGTTGCTTTCTTCGTAGCAATAAGCACAGAACTAGAGTGACTCGGCTACAGGGTTCACGACGCTTTATATCTTCCGGGTTGCGGGAAATTATTCACTATGCAAATGGGCTTACCGACCGACCAACCACCAGAATCAGTTAATGACGAAAGGGATCGATTCCGGTTGGAGGTGGAGGGGGTAGCGGGCACTAGTCCCGAAAATGTTCACCCCCGCAAGGTCGTTCCGAAACCGGGTCAAGGACATCCGGTTGGGACGTTTCGGAAAAGTATTCCGTTTTAACGATTATGTCTGGCGTGTTTATGATACGTTGTACTTGCAAAGGATGGCGCGAAGCGAATAATAAATTCTGCGGGGGACTAGTTCATGATTTGATTATTTTTCACAAATAACATTGCTATATTTGGCTAGATCAAAACAACGCCTTCAGACATTTAAATTTTTATTGATGCGTTTTCGTTACATACTAGTGTTGTTAGTAGACATTGTGCTCAATATGGTAATTCGGAACAATTCTTAAAACTATCATTATTCGATCACTTGTTTTGAAATTCAGTTGTAATGTTCAGGGTACTGGAATTGCTTTGTTCAATTATTTCAATAGATATTCACATGGACTGATTCAGTAAGAGTTGGAAGGTAGGATATTGCACAAGGGAAGAAACTCCCTTGGATTCGTCCAGGAACCCCTCAGGGTAACTTCTGAACATTGTTCAAACATTTTCTGATATTATGAAAGCTTGTCGTTAAGATTTTATCGAACCCACTATGAAGGAGACTCTCGCTTTAAATGCTTAGTGATATGAAACTTATCCTCATTGACCAGTAAGCCCAAATGAGCCAATATCATGACAATTTGGGGAAATATTTTATTTCAAATACGGTTCATTTTTCATGGGGAAACTGTTTTCTGCTTCCTTGGTAAGGTAAAAGGGTTAAGCTGGGTACTGCGGAGTCGTTCGTTTTTGTTTTGCAAGCCAATGGAAAATTGATTGCAGTTTTTTTTTCAAGTTTAAAACTGATTTGCTTTTTCTCAGTCGATTCCCGTCAAAACCTCTAAGCCAGAAGTGCTCGAGCTCCCATGGCTCTATCAAAGTTTGTTTACATACTTGTTTCGCCAAAGAATGTTTTACTGCAATTGAAAGCTCTTAATGTTTGGCTCCCGTTTGACAGTTCACACTGGCTCCCAAGTGACAAGCACATTGAGTGAGTTCACAGTACAAAGGGGTTAAGATCTAATTTCCATCATACTTAGCACAGCCCACACTTTACCTCTCTTTTTCGAACGTTTTTGAACAAAAAACGGAATGTTTCTATCAGGACAAAGTAGGCTGTGCGTGTGGTCGTACCTGACGTTTGTTTTTTTCCGTGGAGTTTTTTATCTATAATCTGTTGCTAATCTGGCCAAACCCAGGCCCTGGAGAAAATTTCTAGTTCCTCAGTCCCTATTATTTGCCGCTGAGAAGCTGTTCTGAAGACAAGTAGAACCTCCACGAGGCGTCCCATCATTCGTTTCGTCCCATCATTAGTTCCATCATTCGTTGAGTCGCAGCGTTGAACCTGACTATTGGCCACGAAAAGGCTTGCCAATGCACATAAAAAATCGACTACATACATCCGAATACTTGTTTATCTCAAATCGACGGAAGACATTCCGCGCAACTACCATAAACCGGACTAGTTCATATTGATCTTCGTCAAGCTTCGTCTACAATTTGGACTTCTACATCAATACATGTCAGCCTGCCTTCAGTTTTTTTTCCTTGATTTGTTTTCCGTCGATCTTGTTTTCCGTGCTGAGCACCAATGCTACCGACGCCAGGAAGGCAGCTCCCACACCTGGACCCTACTCATCGACCCATCAACTCATGAACCGGGGACCAACGGCTTTCCTTCCCTTCCGAAGGAAGGCGTGATCAGAGATGTTATGCCTCAGAACATCCCGGCGGCGCCGACTGGGATTGAACCCTGCTGGGGTGAGAGGTAATCACGCTTACCACTACACCACCGGCGCCGCTAGCCAGCCTTCAGTTAAATTGGCTGAACTTGGTGAGTTCGTTCCATTTTGTCTGTAACGTTGGGAAATCACCTTTTTGTGGTGCGTTACTTCAGCTTCAACTTCAAACTAGGGAATCAGGATTTTTTCAGTAATGAAAGGATAACATTTTAGTGCTTGTTACTTTTTATGATTTGATAATAGTGACAAGACTCGGGTAGTGACCACCGCTGATATGCAAGTCTATATTGTATATTTCAAATTAAAATATTGATTATAATCATAGAGTTTACATAATCCTTTTCCCTTTGTCCTTCTCCTTTTCCTTTCCCTCTTCTATTTTCAGAAAGCGAGTAGGGTAGGATGGTGCCAAACGCACCGTTTAAGCAAAATCGTCAATGGCTGGCGAATGGAAGCTAAAATTAAGAAGAAAGTAATGGCGTTTGGTTCATTACCATGTTTTCTACAAAGATCGAGTGATTTAGAACTACAAAAGGATGATTTTCCATGACTTTCAAGGTATTTTCTAAATTGCTTCCAAAATGATAGCGGGGCAAAACGCCTGATTCATGATGCAATATGCACCACAACATTGGGACAAGACGCACGACAACAATGGCCAAAACGCACCACAACATTGGGGTAAAATGCACCCCATGGTAAACAAACCATAACCCCTGCAAGTAGATAATGCAAAGGGATGCGGTATTTCAAATGATTATTTCTTTATGTTACATCAGAAATAAGGTCTCAAAATCTCAATAGAATGTTAAACTGTGATTCATCAAGTAAAATATCTAAAAATATACGAAACGTAAATTTGTTAATTTTTTTTTGTGATATATGATGTTAAAAGCTTAATTTACAGTCTATGATTTTAACAACTGTGTCCTGTTTTGCACAAAATGTAATTTTTTTAAGGAATCATGAATACATGATTTTATGATCAAGAATTATTTGTTAAACCTTCAGTTGAAAACAATCACAAACCGTTACCCGGAAAATCTGAGGAAAAGTTATCGCTGTTTTTCTATAAGTGGGCATTTTGCCCCAGGGGTGCATTATGGGCTGTTCTCCCTTAATGGCGCTATAGCCATAAGCCATAAAAGGCTAGGACAAGAGTTAGTGCTCATGTCCCAACCGTCAGAAAAAAAATGGAGCATCACTTCACCTTTCTAGCTTTGATGCTTCCAACGACCAACCAATCATATAATTACCAAAATCGGAACGTACGGTACGAGATGTCCACGTTTCATCCTTTTATTGGATGCTGAAGCATCGTGTTTAAATCTTCGATATAAACAGGCCAGATGTTTTCTGAATCATCTTGCCCTTTAAATGCTGCACAGTAGGCTTGGCCGTTTGGATATGTGTGACACATCTTCGATGTGAAACATATATCAAATAGACAAGAAAAATTATGGAGGTATATCCATTATTTTCCAGGATGCTTTCAAGAACTGGCTGTGTTGGTGTTAGATTAGATTAGATTAGAGATTAGAAAAAACGGAATGTTTCTATCAAAGTTATTGGAAAGGTATACGTGCTGTTAGCTTTGACAAAGAGTTACAAATTGTTGAAACCATCATCACTTTCATAGTTATTCTATTCTCCACCGGGGCACATAACATAAGTGGAACTGCAGGCAAAATAACTTTTTAAAAGTTGGCCCCTTTTTTGTGTTGCCTCAGTGGTATAACTGAAAAAGTTGGCCATCGATCTGTCAAAACAAAATTGTCGTGACATCGACGCTGTGCGTTCATAAGAACCAATGTCGAAAACGTAAACAATGGCTTCTTTCGTATATTTCTTGTAGTTCAAAGACAATCCATGTAAGCCACCAATTCCATCGGATAGGGGGACTCTCCCTCTACACAGTTTACGTGTAGTTGACTTGAGTGGTTTTTCATTCTCGAGAAGTTCGCAGAAAGATTTACGTTTGCGACATTAGCTCTTATGAAAGAAAAGCAGATTTACGGTTGCATGCTCAGTAAGCATTGACGTTGACGACGACCCTGCAACTCTTTACTCCTATGGTAAAATCCCATAAGCATCTGAAAATATGTGCATGAAATCTAGCGGACATTGTTTTATCTCTTCACACCACCATAGTGCAAGCGAGCCGCCATCTCTTCACACAATGCTTGATAGTATCTTATGCGATTTTCATATGAGTGAAAAGGTAAGGAAATGACCACAAGGTTTCACGCACAGACTGACGATTGCTTATGGAATTTTACCATAAGAGGAAAGAGATATAGAGTGAAGGCAAATTGTAAATTGTCAGGGTAATGCGCGATGTCAATCATACTAGGTCTGGCCCAACTGACTTATTGGTATTATATTAGTTGAATGTGGAATGTGTTGCTCGTATTCCACCGGTTTATTTTTTACACGAAAAATCTGTTGTCTGCAGCGTTGCCAGGTCATTTTCAGAAAAATCTGGACCAGGTAAAATATAAAATCTGGAAAAATCTGGAATGCTCCAAAAAATCCTCTTTTTAACATAGTGCTATTGAAATCAAAGTGATATGCCAATCTTCCGTAAAAATAGATCAGTATGATCATCTGGAATTTATTTAAATTACATATTTAACTAAATTGTATAAAGTAAATAACTTGTTAGCATTGCTAAAATCATCCAAAAGTTGATAAGTATTGACACGGTGTGCCCAAAAAGTTCAAATATCCATTACGCAACATTTCAATTATTGAGTATATGTGGTTAAATAACAGCAGAAAATATGGTTGGAATTTTTTTTTAAACTGTAACTTTTTAAAAAGAATGAGTAGCAAATAATCAAGGAAATTTGTTGGGATGGATTTTTTGGACTAATAGTCGATGTATCCTTACTATTTAATGCAGCACCAGAATTTAAAAAATATATAAGTT